TGTCGGTGTGTTCCCGTGGTTTTGTAGCTCTCTTTCTTAGCTCACTCACTTGTTTTTCTGAAGAACACTCTCAAATATGTCTTAAAGGGCATATAAAAGGTAAACCCTCTAGATCCTTTTATGACTGAAAATGTCTTCATTGTACCCTTGCATTTAATCAATACACTAAGTATAGATGTCTAGGATAAAATTAACTTTCCCTCTGGAGTTCAAAGGTGTTTGTCCCTATTTTTTTAGCACTAATGTTTTTGAGAAACTTGATGCCTTGCTGGTTTTTATTTTTCTGTAAATGACCTGTTTTTCCTCTCAGAGGGCGTTTAGAATCTTCTTTTTAAAGCAGTGCTTTGAAAGTTCACAACAATGTGTGATTTGAGCTGGGCCAGTCAGGGATCAAAGTTCGATGGGCAGAAAAGAGAGGGAATGTTCTCCAGGGCAATAAGGGGCACCCAGGTGCAGAGGTGGGGAGCAAGTCGTGCTTGGGAGACTTGAATCAGCTATCAGAGCCTTTTTTTTTTTGCACTTACCAACTTGAGTTGTATAATGTAGTTTTCAGAACCTGTGTAAGTTTTTGTCCTACATTGTAGATTAAGGATGTTGACACCTACCTCCCTGGGTTGTTGAGAGAATAAAATGAGATACTATAAAAATAAAATAATGGAAACATTATTCTTTTGGAAGCAGGTATGAGAACTCCTTGAAGAGAGAACAGCTCTGCCTCTCTTAATCTTATCAGAATGCTGTGATAAGCTCTTAGGTGGATAGAGGTAGTCTCCAGGGAGCAGATGTTGAGCAGGGAGTTCAGATCATCAGAGGAAGAGAAACACTACCCTTAACAATAGGGGTGGTGGGAATATTTAGTGCTGAGAGACAGGGAACTAGGAGAGAAAATACCAGGGAGTTGGGCCAAACCTGCCTGGAACATGGGTCAGGGAAGTCCCTCCTTTCTTCCTTTGATTTTAGCTGGGCTAAAGAAGGTCTTTAGAGACCATATAAATGTCTAATGGGAATAGACACTGTCTGATGTAAGACATAAACCCTTTCTTCAATCTGTTTATGAAATTATACTTCAATTCTACACTCTTTGATAATAATACTTTTGTCAGAGTAGACTTTTGTTGAGGTCAACGCAGAGAAATGGATAAAACAGGTAGCATCTGAATAACGTGTAAAACACTTAGCATAATGGTCAGCACACAGTAAGAGCCAACATTTGTTACTTTTCATTCTTGTGATTATTCTTAACATTACAATTATGACTCGGACCTATCGCACTGTGCAACCTGACAATGTAATAGAAACAGGAAAAGTGCCTTATAATCCTTGATCTGATTGATCCATATGCATCTCTATTTCGTCTTGACTAATTATAAAACTGAAACTGAAATCAGGTGTTTCCAGGTCGACATTTTTTGATGTGTTCAATCTGAATTTGGAAGAAGATGGAATCAGAAAGAGTCATAGGACACAAGTGCTTCTCTTCTGCCGCTGTTGCTGTCCGAGGGAGTAGGTGACATGTACAAATGGAGAGCTTTTTTGTGTGGACGCCATTCTATGACCGCCAATATTTGTCTTAAGTTTTTAAGCAATGCTTTTCTACCTTCATGCAGATACTCCAGTGTCTAGGAGCTCCATCAGCATTGCTTATGTTTGCCCACAATTCTCATTTCTAATCTCAGATTCTCTTCTGAACTCAGTCATCCCAATCAAGTTGCAAAATGCCTTGCTCATAGCTGGTGCCCAATAAATAGTTGATGTATTGAGGAACAGCTTAGAAGTAACTACCTGAATCTTAAAAGATGGAAGCACTCTGTCCAGCCAGTGTGGCTTAGTGATTGAGCATTGACCCATGCACCAAGAGGTCGCCAGTTTGATTCCCGATCACGGCACATGCCCAGGTTGTGGGCCCGATCCCCACTGGGGGGCATGCAGGAGGTGGCCAATCAATGTTCTCTCTCATCGACGCTTCTCTCTCTCCTCCCTCTTACTTCCTCTCTCCCTAAAATCAATAAAAGAAAAAAAATTTTTTTTTTTAAGACAAAAGCACTCAAAGACATCAAAGCCTGGTGATTGGTTCAAGTCTTCAGATTGCTGAAACTTAAAACATTCTGAAGTCTTTGGAATCTGCACCTTACTCAGTGTTGCTTTTCTAGTAGATAGTAGGTTCTTTAAAACTATAAAAATACAAGAGTGTGGAATATATACAAAACAGGCATCTGGCTCGTTATTCCAGGCCTGGTGAGGCCCCTTAACCAGGTTTCCCTCCCTCGGGCACCAGAACCTGAAGCTACATGTAGGTCTCTACAGTTTTCTGACACCTACACCTGGACTTTCTGTGATCACCACAGTAACACTTCACCTGGACTGGAATTATTCTCATTTTTATTTAAGTCGTTTTCCTTCTGCCCAAATATAAAAGACATGTAGTTTTATGATGAAATAGCATATGCAAAGAGCCTGGATACATAATAGACATTTGATGAATGCCAGTTTCCTCCATGCTATCTCCCCTGACTAAGAGGAAAACAGTCAGTTGTTTCTTATTTTCATAAACAACAGACCAAAAAAAAAGGGCGGTGTGCATTTATTTTTACAGACATAATGTTAAAGACAGAGTTGTGCCCTTTGACCACAGGACTGATCCAACAACAAAGAGGACGGGTTATAGATAATTTTAAAAATAGGACTGGCCATTATCCTGCTTAGAAACAGAAAACTAGAACTCTCCATTTGTCAGCAACATGGATTAAGTGTCCCATTGTGTCAAGAGCACTGAATGAGATACTGTGCTATTTTCGAAGGCATAACAACGTGTGATTTCTTAAAAAAAAAAAAAAAGGATTACCAATAAAAAGATAGCCATAACCAAACAAAATCCGAATGCCTAAAAAATACAAAGAACAAACAAGATCTCATACAAAATAATTTGTGGTATTTTGACCATGCTTTATTATAAATTGATGCTAACCTCATATGAGTGACCACAATGATATATTTCTTCCATTGATAATAATGATCTTGTTTTCCAGCATGTCCTAATACTATTGTACCCACTAAAGAACTTAATCCGGCAACTGTGAATCAGAAATGTGTACCTTCTTACTGTAGCTGCTAGTGTTCTATTTGAAGCCAAGATTATTATATAAGTAATATGTGGTAACTGTGTCCTGAGGTACTTATCTAAAAATGACATTTTTTGTGTAAAAAGGTGATTTAACATTAACAAATAGTGCCTTTCTGCTTGGCCTCCTATTTAGTTTCTATATCATTATTGCATGTGCTTGTTAAATTTCTCTTTCCTACCTGACTATAATTACTTGAGGGCAGAAACTGTGTATCGTGTATATATATTTTTTAAGTTCCTGGTACAGTATCTGAAGGATACTAGGGGCGCAATCAATTTTGTGAAATAAATAAATAAATGAAAGATGTGGTATCAGATACGGAATAAAACTAAGATTCAGAGAAGTTTAAAGTCAATAATGTACCATAATTTAAAGTTGAATTATTAAGAGAGAATATCTGAAAGAGATCTCTTTGAATCTACCTATATAGGTGCATTCTTATATTTTAACTATATGGTTATCAATTCCCTAGTCCACAAAATAAAAATAAAATAATATATCCATCGAGTTAGGGGCTGGTTTAGCCTCGTGGCCCTGTACAGGTGCAATTTATTTTTACAGTTAAGAGAAGGACACTGAATCTTCCCAGAATAACCTGATTTCAACAGAGTTAAATAAAGTTGTTCATTTTTTTCCAGGTTTTTGACATATTTCTGTCTTTCAAGACTGTGAAGTAAATCTCAATTTCCCCAAAGCTGATTTTAATGATCCTGCCCATGTGACATAGTTTTTTTTTTTTTTTTTTGGTTTCATTGCTATTAGCGAATGACAAGTGAAGGATATTCATTTTAACTTGAAAATGTCAGGTATGCACTTTAAGAGATATATTTTTGCAGCTTTTAATGAGGTGGTGTTTCGTTTTGAAAGAAATACTCATCTCTGATGCGGGTGCTGTTCAGGTAACAACTGATATTTCATAAGCGATGGTTCTTGTATTAGTCACAGTTCTCTAAAGAAAATGTCTCAGATTGCTTTTGAAAAACTCTTAGCGTCCCTAGCCCAAAGGCAAGATGTGACCTTTTTATTACATAATGATAATCATTTATTATCTTACAATGTATCTTAAAGTCACAGACAAAATGCCACTTTGATAATTGCTTTCAATTAGCTTTGAGCATAGCATATATTCACAAAATGTCTTCTCTAAATTAGACTTGAATTAGAGAAAATTACAGACATAATCTACTTTAAGCTTGTCTCATTTAAGGTGATTCTCAGTGTTATATCAAAGAAATCAAAACGAGTAGCATGAGAACAGTCTCTCCAAGTGTTTTAAGCAGGCTTTTCAATATTTGATTCTATTCTACTAGCAATTAATTAACAAATTAGGAAAGTAGTTCATCATTCCTGACCTTTTATGCATGCTAACTTGTGACTTTCGATTCTAATGATTGTTTTGAAATTAAGCCTTGCAGTTCGTGTTGAAAGAGAGAAACAATCTGATTAGTAAGATAAATAAGGCTTGCCCTGATACCAAGTGCATCTTGAGGTTTGTCTGCAGCTGGGATCCCAAATGCCCTAATGGTGCATTGAATAAATGATACATAACTAACGGTCAATAAATTATACCAGATTATCATGTAACTAAACAAGGAGTTTAGGGTTATTACTACAAGTGAGGTTAGAGGTACCATGATGATTAAAATGTAATCTCAGTTAATTTTTATGTTCTGTTAATACCCTGAGCATTGGAATATGGTTTAAATGTGTATCTTTATCTCTCTTTAAAATATTTTTTGGAATAATAGAAACTCAGAAACTACGTTTCTATACTTGTGGTGTTTCAGTAAAGAATGGAATATGATTAGCCTAACAGAGATTCTCAGAAATTTGTATTATGTCTGGAGATTACTCTCTTTCTTTTTTTTTTCCCCCTAGATAAAAATTACACACAAGAACCAAGCCCCAATGCTGATGGGCCCTCCTCCAAAAACTGGGTTGTTCTGCTCCCTCGTCAAAAGAACAAGAAACAGAAGCAAGGAATAATCCTGTATCATTTTGTTCTTAGAGATCTAATTAGCATAATTGGGCCATGGAAAACGTACGCTGGAAACCTCGAATCATTTCAAGTCTTCTACTCATGCAAAATCATGGGATTGGTTGAACAATTTTTGTTACTGAGTTCATGTAAAATTCATCTATTAGAAAATTTGTCTCAGTTGTTATAGGCATCATTGCATGAAGAAAGCAGAAGTTTACGTGAAGTGATAGTGCATATTTTTGTTGCATGCATTCCCATAGATTTTTGTCTCCCACCCATTCCTCCCCCGTTTTCCATTGCGTAACCTGTGATTAAAAAACAAATAAACAAACAAATACACCATTTAAACATAAAAAAAGAAATACCATAGAAAACGTGATTCTCAGTGTGATTTCAATGATCAGTAAGCACTAATCAGTAATGCCTCAATGGCCAACATTGCAGATTGCTATCCTGTTCCCTTTTAGACTCAGTATACCCATAGTCCTTGGCCTAGGACTTGAGGAGAAACTTTTCATTGAAAATTTTTATTAAATAGTAATATATGATACCTTGCTGTATCTAAATAATTTTTAACTTCGTAGTGCTTCTGAGTGGAATTTAAAATATCAGACATAGAATTTTCCTGTGCTGAAAAATAGAAAGTGGTTTTTATTTCTTTTAGTTTTGTTTTTAATTCCAGAAATAAGTGCAAATATGTTACTTGGCAGTCAAGTGTGGTAATATGATAAGCCTTATTCCTTTCTGCATGTGAATCTTGAAGATTATTCATAACCACACCAGTAACCAAATAGATGTTCTAAACTATGTGCCTAACAAGCTGTGTCTCCCACCAAAGATTCACAAAAAGATGCCTGAGAGAAATGTTTTAATGCATAATTAATTGTGGAGAAAATGTATGGTTCTTATGATTAATTTTGTGACAACTAAAACTCTGGAAGAGGGTGAATTACCCATTACTTCTCATTAATATTCTCACCTTTTGGAGTCAGGAGGCCAGACAACACAGTCAAAGCTCAATATTATTAACTGAAGAGAAGGTATATACAAAAAGCTGATTTCTTGCTTTTTTGGGGGTCATTTATAAGTGTCTGTAATTTTTAATGGATCAGTTAAGTACACGTGAGAAAGTAAATGCTGTATCAGTTTCTTTCTAATCTAAATCGATACCTGTAATAATATTGAGCTCACTGGAGCAAATGGTGTATGCAGTTTGACCCCTCGCCTACTCCGCTCCCATCTCTGTGACATTGCAAATGCTTATTTGGAATTACCAGTCTAGACTGTTGTTTAATATACTCATGGCATTGTTGACTTCTCTGATTGTTTAAAGAAATCATGAAGAGTACTTTTTTTAGTGTTTCATTTGACCTATGATGTAAAATGAAATGCTATTCCGAGCCGTTTGGTGTTGTCTTTCATATTGACCTGCATCTCATCATCGCATGTTTTATGTGTTCAAACATGCCACGAGGAAAACAAATGCTTGAAATGCATGATTTATTAATTTCTCTCTCCACTCTGCATTAAAGTACTAATGATTTATCAGTTCTGTTTTTTTATTATTATTATTGATTCATTCATCTTCGAATAACAAATAGCATTTAGTGATTCTGTTGAACACAATCCTGTGCATGGATTTATGGATTTCAAGTAAAATTGCTATAATTTTTGTTCTTTGGTTTGAAAACTCAACTGAATGCTGTTATATCAAATAGCTACTCTCAAGCAATGTGCTATAATGGAAGATTATGTATAAAGCATATTCTTTTTGTGTTCCAGGAACATTAGATGGTAAATATCAATCAACAGTAAGTTTAATTGCTTTCAAAATAAAAGCTTTTGAATAAAATTAAGACATAATTTAGCATTCCCAGGAACATTATTATTACAATTGCAAATGTAGCGTAGCAATCACTTTCCCTAGTATAATTTTTTTTAAATGGTATTTGGCAGAACAGTGATCTACACCAAAAGAAATTTCAAAACAGTAACAAATGCATTACCGATATAATGTTACATAACATACATATTTTGTGTGTGTATCTATGGTTACAGGTAATAACTATTTTCACATAAACTGACATTTTCTGCAATGGTCAGCAGGCTTAGTGTCAAATACATCTTCTGAAGCCACAAATTATTTTATGTTCAGTACAAATACAGTTATTTTCTGGCTACCTTTTGGCATACACAGGTTGAAGGCAACAGCGGTTTGTAAATCTAACAATCTGTGCAACGGGAAGACTGTGGGAGGAGACAAATCAGACAACCGGCCTGTGACTTCACTCACTGAAATAATGGGACGCAGATGTGCTCCAATGTAGCTACACAGCTATAATTATTGATAAGAGCAGTTACATTTCCAGTCCATTGGAGTCATTGATATCAATAATAACTGTTCAAATACTAATCAAATTTTACTTTTCACAACTCATTTTCTAAAGACACCCACATGCTTGCCCTCAAGTCCTTGACTGCTGGGGGTGGGAAGCAGTTTATAAAAGCCCACTTCGATGGTTCTGAAATCAGAGGAGATAGTCTATCCATTTTTCTGTCAGCTTCAAGTGAGGAATATGTATTTAAAGAAAGTTTCCAAAAGTTCTATGGTACATTAAAATATTGAATAATGAATGTTAGCTTTACAAGATGAAATTTTTTTCTTCTGTGTGTGTGGGTGACTGCGTTATTAACTCAAGGCCTTTCAAATATAATAGGCATAGTAGTATAAAGTTTTAAGTGGATGGAGCTCTTAAGGACAAATTAATTCTGTGTTTACAAGGGTGGAAGGGAAAGGGAAAAAGAGATATGCACTTTGCTAAGCATTATCATATACTTAGTTGATAAACAGGGAGATTCCAAAATAAACCTGGATATTCATGATTTTCATAGGAATGAGGTATCTATGTAGAATCAGAAATTTTAAAGGATGTATTTTTCTACTTAGATATATATACCATGTGTATTTGATTTAAAAATTGCATGTCGGCTTATTATGAAGGAAGAAGATATATGGTAGGAAAAATAAAATAAAAGAGAAAAAATAAGATTTTAAAAGTTTTTATTTATAAACAGGTTATGTATGATAAGGAAAATAAAGTCAAAGGCTCAGATATTTAGGGTAGTCTACTATAGGCAGAAATTTAAATCCAATGAAAATTAATTAATCATGATTACAGTTCTGCATTTTGTTCATTTTCTCCCCTTTTTTTTTGTAGGGGGATGGGAAGTAATTGCAATTTTCAAGAAAGAATTTGTTTTGAATCTCAGACTACATTTTATTCGAATGGGACAAAGCTTTCCAATGGCTTCGTTCTTGTCTGTGTCAGTTACCTCGCTGTTTATTAGTACAAAAAGGAAAATGTACTTTTCATGGCACATATAACCCCAAATAATTCTTTAAATCCAGTACCTATATCCTAAATTTTAAAAGATTGAGCCCTTATATGTTGAGGATGTAAAACTTAAATAAACAAAACAAGCGGAAACCTAAAGAGCTTTTATTCTGTGAAAGGCAGAAACCATTTCTTAAATCTGCCAGCGAAATTGCATTCTATTTAAATAAAGTTTGGCTAAAATCACATTGGAAGGATTCTGTACCTCCTTATTGTGTTTAAAAACATGGTGTTCATTTAATTACAGTGTCTGATTTTCTCAGAAAGTGTTATATATAGTATTCTGTTTTTTTGAAATAAAAATCTCAACCACTCAGATAGGTGTCGCTCCTCACTGCCGTGTCCGAACATGAACTCTCCAAGGGGTTGAATGCCCGCTGGGAACACCAGGCCGGCAGCCTTGGCCTCCAAGGGGGGGCAGGAGCCTGAGGCCTTGGGGACTGAATTCTCTGTTGGTAAGAGCCACACCTTTCTACTTTGTGGTACTTTGGCCCAAGTTGCTGCTGGGTACATTTTTCTAGCAATTTCCGAGACTCCAGGCAAACCAGTAAAACACCTGATAGAATCACGGGGACTGAATGACCTGGGCAGGGGTTGTGGGAGGATTTATGTAAAATATTTTGGATAAAACCGATTTCTAATTTTATTTTGTGTAATAGACTTCAACAGCTATCTCATGGGCACTGACTAGGCACAAGATATTTTACAAAGGAGCTGCAGCAATTAAAGACTTTTTTTAATGACATATCTCTTCTCTAAAAGTCTTTCGTGCAGTAGAAGAGTTAAGTAAATGAATGGCCATACTATGTGATGGAGTGGGGTAAGAGCCAAGGTAAACACAATGTGATACATATTCAAATGCGCAAAGATGCTTTGAGGGGAGGGATTCATAAACGCCTCTAAGAAAGATGAATGTGCCAGTGGCTCCCAGGGTGGCTAGAAGTTCACATGGAGACGTGCAGCGAAGACACTCCTGCATCAGAGAAGGTGAGTGAGGACGTGCGGATACACATCGAGTCCCAGATGCTTCATCGCCTCGTTTCATACAAGGGTTGGAGAATTTATAAATCAGACATTAGGTTCATGGTTCCTCTTAAAATTACCAAGAAAAAAAGGAGCAAGAGAAGAGGAGAGAGAGGGGCAGGGAAAGAGTGAAGAATGGAGGTAAAGAAGGAGGGAGGGCGAGAGAAGGCAGGCAAACACGACATTAGGAGCGACTACGAATTAATTTTTCATTCTGGAAGAGAGAAAAATAGGAAATTTTGATGCCAAAGTATTTTAATATAAGTAAACTCTAAAGCTTACAGAACACTAAAGTAATAGAGAGTGCTAACTGTAAAGTGTGTTGATGCTAAATATATTTTAAAAATTAAATATCAAGATATGCATATAAAATAATACAATTTTAAAACTCGTAATACAGTAACGGAAAATTCCTAATAGAAACATAGGAGAGTCTAACATCTTACAAATGGAGGCAGAGTCATTGCAGGTACACCATTCTGTTCCTCTTAGTTCTTTTGTCTAACATCCGTTCCTGATGTCAGCCCATCTCAGAAAAAAAAAAAAAAAAAGCTTTGCTGATTCATAGTGTGTTAACAATAACTCTC